AAGCTTGATTTTTGGTCCAGTCCTTGCAACTGGCCTTGAAGAAAGTCCGACTTGGGCATGTCTGTTTGGCGGATTGGTGTAAATGCGCTCTGTTGACTGCTGATTTTTTTTATCCAGTTGATGAAAACAGGGTGCTGAAATCCCCCTTTATGATCATATTGGTGATCCATTCATTAACATGCGTTTTAAGTACCTGGGTCTGCGATGGACCGGCTCGGCCGGGAGCAGTCAGTCTGATGGGAACAGGACCCCGGGAACAGTGGGCAAGGATTCGGCGAGTGACAAACAGACACGACAACTCAAGGAAGTTGTATCTGAGTGCATTTTGCAAAAGCAAGGCATCAGCTTATATACAATAGATGATTGCAAAGGCACATTTTCCTTGTTTATACATGTGGTTACATTTCTAGAAGCAATTATTCCAGGGAGGTAAGCAGGTGTGTTGAGCAAAGATTGTTCTTGAACAGCCTGGTGACAGACTGCGGTTGCTATTTCTTGTGGACGCAGTTTGGCACCATTTGACTTTTAATCATTAAGCAGTTAGCTCTCATTGTGTTTTGTGCCTTATATTGGTTTTAATATTAACTTGCCTATATTTCTAGTTTTTCTTCCTGTATGGCTTTTTAAGCTATAGATTTCTACTATAATCTTCTTTTTAGAAATTCTCAATAATAGTCCTAAGTAGGTTCATTAAAGCTAGTAACTTGACAGTTTTTATCTCAGACTGCTTGCTGTCCTTGTCCAGTCTCCTGTCAGAAGGCTTCATAGAACTATAAAGGAACATTGAGCCTTTGCTGCACATAAATAGTATTATTCCAGTCACAAAGATAAGAGCAAAGAGAGTACAGGTAGGAACGCCGAGACCACTAGAGCTGCAGCCGAGTCCAGGAGGCATCCTTCCTTGAAGCTTCCGCCTCGGCCGGGTGATTTCTCACGCAGGCTCCACTGGAGGTGGCGTGACATGGGTTCCCTAGCGTTTGAGAGTCCACACAATTCCTATAGTCCCATCTCCCTTACTCATATGTAATGGCCTTCTTTGTCTCTTAGCAATTTTTGCTTTAAAGTTTATTTTGTCTGATGCAAGCACAGCTACTCCTGCTCATTTTAAATTTCCACTTGTGTGGAATAGCTTTGTCCATCCTTTCCCTTTCAGTATTTTTTAAATAAAGATTTATTTATTTTTATTACAAAGTCAGATACACAGAGAGGAGGAGAGACAGAGAGGAAGATCTTCCATCCGATGATTCACTCCCCAAGTGAGCACAATGGCCGATGCTATGCCGATCCGGAGCCAGGAGCCAGGAGCCAGGAGCCAGGAGCCAGGAGCCCCACACGGGTGCAGGGTCCCAAGCCTTTGGGCCATACTCGCTGCCCCCCCCCCACCAGGCCACAAGCAGGGAGCTGGATGGGAAGTGGAGCATCCGGGATTAGAACCGGTGCTCATGTGGGATCCCGGCGTGTTCAAGGCGAGGACTTTAGCCGCTAGGCCACGCCGCCGGGCCCATTGAGGAGCATTTCTTGTAGGCAGCATATATTAGATGGGTTTTGTTTTTTTAAACCCGTCATCCACACTGTATGTTTTAATAGAGAATTATTCCATTCACACGCAGATAATCAACTTGATAATTGACGACTTGGTCTTGCCGTGTTTCGTAAGTACTCCTGGTGCTTGTCGGAATCTCTGTTTCTTCACTGGAAGATTTTCTGCCTTGCCGTTTTTTGGTGATGCATTCATCTTTGTTTCTGTGAGTAGCACATCCCTGGCTGTCAGGTTTGAGGCTGGCCAGGTGGTGACAAACTCTTTCAATTCTGTTTATCTTAGAGTCTTGATTTTGTCTTCAGTGGCAAGCTGTTCTAGAGTGGCAGGTGGACTTTTCTTCCCCCCTCAGGACTCGGGCTGTATCCTTCCATTCTCTCTGTAGGATTTCTGTTGAAAACTCTACACCCCACGTGTGAGCCTTGGAAGTTAATCTGGCTTCTCTCTTGCACATTTTAGGATAATTATCTTTATGTTTTACTTTTGAAGGTTTGATTCCAATGCGTCATGATAAGGATTTCATCTGATCATCCTTACTTGGGGTCCACCTGCCTCGAGTAATTGGCTACCCAAACCTTTCCCCAAATCGGGGACCATTTCTGCAATGATTTTACTCAACAAGTTCTGATCCGCTCTTCTCCCCCACACTTTCAGGATCTCCCAGGACACGTGCATTTGGTTATTTGATGGTATCCTGTTGTGGGCTAAGGAGTTGATTAGTGGCCGTTACCTGGGCAGGAACAGCAACTGGGCTTGTGGCTAAAAACACCTGGACTAATTGGACTCATCTGTATGCAATATCCTGCTGAATGAGGAAGTGATGAGAAGAGTATATAAGGAGAGGTGAAGGAGTGATAAAGGGAGACCCCGCAGAGACTTGCACCATCACTGTTCTCCTGTCAGTGCTTCATCCCCAGGCCCTCTCCCTGTCCATGTTACTGGCTCTGCTGTCTGAGGGACCCCTGGACCTATGAAGGTAAGTTTAGAATTTAAAAATTTTGCAGGGACATAAGTAAAATTTATCATGGGGCAAGAACTCAATAAAATGCAGATGATTAAGGGAATCCGAGATCTGCTCCAGTCACAAAGCACCGACACTAAGCTTAAGGCCTCGCAGAAGTTCGTTGAAACTGTCTGGGCTATCCCCATGGTTTGCTCTCATTGTAGCCACCTTTTACCTCTGGTGCTTGGTAAAGAATGCTTTGCCGTCTCCTCAAGTGGTGCAACCCTTTCTTGAAAAGTTATCCATAAGAAGGGGCAGGGAGTGACAAGGACCCCGAACCAGGGTAAAAAAGGAGAAGGAACCCCAGGCCAGACAGAGTCTGGAGAAACTGTGCAAAGAAGGTCTTTGTCTCTTGTAACCCTTAAGGTTTCATTCATGATATTTTCAAAAATGTGAAATTTTATCACAAATAACTTGGCCTAGAATTAAACTCTAATGCACTATTAAATTATTTCAATGTATAAGTTAAACTAATGTGGTATTCATCGTATACAAAGCACTTTTTAATGTTGAGGTGATTCTGGTCTTTTCGGCTGGTTATCAGATATCTCACTGCTGTAAGTTGGTGAAGGTTTTGTGTTTGTTTTAAAGGTATTTCAGTGATGGCATGTCAATAACTGAGTCTAACCGATAGTGTGTTATGCTAACTCCAACAACAAAAAATTTTGTTTCAGATGTTTTTAACCATGTTTAAAAAGGCATCCAAGAATTCAAGTTTCAAATTCTAGGGCTTCCCTTGGTATTCTTAGGAGGCCTCAAGAATGCCAAAGGATTAATCTCCCGTTTTGTGGAGACAGTTAATCAGGTGACTGAACTATATGAAGATTTTTGCAAACGGACCTGACACACATCCCAGAGTTTGGGACTTTACAGTATGTGCATGTTACTGTCGATACTTGCTCTGGATTTATCCTAGCTACTCCTCAGACAGGGGAACACATCAGGCATGCTCTGGCCCATTGCTATGCATATTTTTCCATCTTGGGAACTCTCATAGTTATTGAAACTGATAATGGCCTTTGCTATATCAGCAGTAAGTTCTGTGATTTTGCTGCCTCCCACCATATACAACTAATTACAGGCATTCCTTATACTCCTCAAGAACCAGGTACTGTGGACCGCGCCAACCGTACTATTCAGGATTACCTTATTAAAACAAAAAAGGGGGAGTATAGCACTCCCCGAGATCATTTGAATCTTGTATTATTTATCTTAAAATTTCTGACATTGGACGCTGAAGGACGGTCAGCTGCGGATCGTTATTGGAATCCGTCTCAGAAGCAGAAGGGTGACAGGAAATATCTTCTAATTTTGAGATTCTTTCTTCTGCCTCCTTCATTCTATTTTGGAGACTCTCCACTGTGCTTTTAATTTGCTGTACTGTGTTCTTCATTTCTGATATATCAGCTTTCATTTGATTCATTTCCAGTGTGATAAATTCCTTGAATTCCTTGATACCTGCTTTACGTACTTCTCATTGTTGATCGAGAAGCTTTATAACAAGCATTTTGAAGTCTGTATGCCCCATCTTCTTGATGTCTTCCTCAGTGAACTCTGAGATTAGCAAAGGGCTTTGCTGCTTTGCAGGGGAGTCTTCGGTGATATTCATTGTGTCTCTGTCTCTTTTGCTGTTTGTCATTGTACTTCTGGTTATCAGATTCTTCTCCTTGGGGCAGGTTTCTAAGCTGTGTCACCCACAGGTCTGCAGTTTGATTTTACTTATTGCAGTTGGTACACGGCTCTTTGTTTGCAGTCACTTGTGCCACGCCCTCCCGCGAGTTCCAGGTCTGGGTTCTTATATTAGACTTCCACCATGGTCTGCTCTCAGGAGTTCCTCTAGTGGGGGCCGGGCCTTGAGGTGTGATGTCTGTGTCGAGAAGAGCTTTGGGACACAGGGGTGCACCGGTAAGATGAACCACTGCACATTTTATTGAATTTTTCTGGCTTCTTACCAAATTTCTTTGCAGAACAAGCAGGTTGGTAAAAGTTACAAGTTAACTGAACAATGGTACACCAACTACTTCAACAATAGGTCACAAGGGAGTAGGGGGAACAATCAGAGGGTCCGAGCAGTCGGACAGGTAAACATGAGTTACAGGGATCAACAGCGGTGGATAGACAGATCTAACTGGGAAAGGAATCCAACAGAACTCTGTTTGCACTCAGATACGTTCAGGCCACAATCGCTAAAGGAAGAGGTTGATAAGACACCTCACACCTCCCCAGATACATCAGCCTGTAAGGCTTAACCACAATCCCAGCAGGGAGTCTGCTCCCCGCAGTATTCTGTCTGCTGAGAACAGTTGGCATTTGGAATCCTAAGGAATTGTAATCTGGTTTTGGGGAGGGCAGATCTCCACAATTAATAAATCTCCACAGTCTTGGTAGCTCCCGCACCTGGCTCACCACTCTCCACCTGTCTGTACAAGCTTTCTCCCACTTCCAGTTGAGCAGGTCTCAGGATTAGGGAGACACAAGGTGTCCTATAGAGCTAGCTTGTTGGTGGAGCTGATCTTGATGGGACCTGTTGGCAGTTAGGTCTGAGGGTCGCATACACCTATTTTGACGCTTACAATGCCAATGTCAGTATTATTTTCCCTGTGGGACCAGTGAAATGCAATGAGCTCAGTGAGTTCATTCCTAGCTCAACACATGCACAGCTCACTGTTGTCCCTGCAGTCTTAAAGTTTTTCTGTGCTAGCTATGCAAAATGGCACCTGATGTGCCATTACTAGAGTCCTTGATTTGCTGGCTGTCAGATCTGAGGGCTACCTGGACCTGTCTTGGGTGGAACCTGTAGGATGCCATTGTTGTTGCAGTTCACTGAGCCAGAAATGAGTTCACTCCCAGCTCAGTGCGTGCTCAGTCCTGTCCACAGCTCTTGACCCCTTAAAGAAAACGGTGCCCAACTTAGCTCTAGGGGATGGACTGGGCTGTGAAATCGACCCTGTTCTCGTACTGCCTGTCTGAGATCTGCTGCTCTGTCTCTGCTCCTGGTCAAATCAAACAGACCAGCAGGACGGACAGTTCTTTGGGTTCACCTCCTGAGCTCCTGGTGAAAGACCCTTGCCACCTTGTTGCTGCTGGAGTTCTGGCTGCCATTGCAATTAAGATGGCCACTTGCTGAATGCCGCTGGGGTGTCAGTCGCTGCAACACCACACCGTTGTGTCTGTCAGTCTCCAGGCACCCTCTGCTGTCGTTCTGTCCTCTCCTGTTTCCTGGAATGTGCCCTCTCTGCTTCGCACTGGCTAATATTTCTCCGTCTGTTTACACGTGTCCTTACCCTATTTTGCCATCTTGATTCTCCTCCTGTTGCATTTTTAAATAGATTGGTCTTCATATCTCCATTATTTCAGCCTGATTTTTCATCTGTATCTCCCTTTGTAGAATTTCTCATTCACATCACATATGGATTTTCTTCTCTGTGTTTTTGCTTATTCTTCTGAATTTCTGGTTGGGCGTTTCCTCCGTCTCCTGTCCTCACAGTCCAGTGTCAATGTGTTCTTGTGTTCGCCTCCGCCCGGCTCGTGTGTCTTCATCTCTGCTTACACAGCTCGGGTCCCTTCTGCCACCTGCTCTGCCGCGTCGCTCTTGGAATGTGATCCTACATCTTCCTGTGACTAAAACCAGTTCGTTTTGTCCCCACTGTCCGGCCATCGTGCCTCTCCCAAGAAGTTAGTTAGGGTCTCAGCTGACATAATCCCATGTGTATATAATGCTGGAGATACTAGACTGGGGACAGAAGAGAGAACCAGGCCATCTGTGACTGCAGGAAGGGGAGCACGAGGCCACCAGGGGCAGCAGGAAGGGCGTGGCGGGGGTGCACGTGCCTTGTCTTGATTGTAGAGCTGGCTTCCCGGGTCCATGTGTCAACACATTTGTGTCTTTAAAATCAAGGAGCTGGCATTGTGGTGTGGCAGATGCAGCTGCTGCCTATGTTGTTGGCATCCCACATGGGTACTGGCTGGTGCCCGCCTGGTGCCCGGCTGCTCCATGTCTGTGCCGGCTTCTGCTACCAGCCTGGAGGAGGGCCTTAGGGCCCCTGAACCAAGATGTGAGACCCAAACAAAACTCCTGGCTCATGGTTTCAGCATAGCCCAGCCACAGGCATCGCAGCCATCTGAGGAATGAAACAGGGATGGAAGCTCTCCCCCTTCCTCTGTGTACATCTCATCTTTCCTCTCTGCAACTCCGACCTTCAAATAAATAAAATATTTAAAAAACAAAACCATGGAGGTTAGGCAGATGGCGGAAAGATCACCTTTCATAAAACGCCAAGAACTCTAATGGAACACTATAAACCTCTTCCATTATTAATGTCACAGAGAAAAATCAACGTCCATCTTGACTGTCCTTGCACTTTATCCTGGGGTGGGCAGTGGCAGCGCCCACATGGCTGCAGGCCGGGAGCTCCTGAGCTGGCTCCTGGGTAACTCAGCTGTCCATGCACTCTAGTTTTGAGTTGAGGTCAAGCAGCAGCCTGTGCTGTGCTGTTAGAATGCCACTTGGAGTCCCTGGCGTCAAGTTCCACCTCCACTTCTGATCCAGGTCCCTGCTGACGGGCGTCGCGGGGGCAGCAGGGATGGCTCAAGAGGGGGACGGAGACGGGAGATTCAGAAGGAGATCCTGGCTTCAATCTGGCCATGTCCATGTCGTGACCACTGAGGAGTGAGTCAGGGAATGGAGTCTGCCTGTGTCTGTCTTTAAACCGAAATCTCAAAAATAGCTACGCTGTAATTACCACACAGTAACAGGGATACACCTTACAAGTTTACCGTGTGATTGTTTCAGAATCATGCCCCCTGTGGCCACTCCACAGCAGGACAGACACTGAGCCCATCCCAACCCGCCCCCCCCCCCGAGATTGCTGTACACAGTAGGACAGATACTGAGCTCGTCCCAGGCCCCCAGCCCCCGTGACCACTGCACACAGTAGGACAGACACTGAGCCTGTCTCAGCCCCCTGTGACCACTGCACACAGTAGGGCAGACACTGAGCCTGTCCCAGCCCCCCGTGACCACTGCACACAGTAGGGCAGACACTGAGCCCGTCCCAGCCGTCCTGCTCCGTAGTCACAGCCTCCGGTCCTCTGGCTCCCCGTATACATACTGTCTTTCTTGACATCTGTGTGAACTCCCCTGACATGTCGTTTCTGGGATCTGACGGCCTCCTCTCGGTCCAGCCTTTGTGCCTCTGTGCTTTTGGCCTAGTACAGTCCACAGCTCTGGGCCTCTGGGTGGGCAGCGCTGCGCCTCGTGGGTCTTCTCAGAACCTGCCTGCTGTTTCCAGTTTGGACAGTCTTGACCCAGTTTTTGCAGCCAGTCATGCCCTTGTCTTTGGGGCAGTCGCCTGCAGGGACAGCTGCTGGGCCAGGGCCCGGGCCCGTGTCTCCCTTTGTCAGAAGCTGTGCAAATGTTTGGCAAAGTGGCACATCATGTATTGTGAAGAATTACTGATGTGGAGGTCAGATTTTGTGTAGCCTGCGGCTGCAATTCTAGGAAGATAAACACAGGTGCCGTTGGCACCCCCACAGCCACGCGCAGGCTCGGTTGCTTTCCGACGGCGTCACCCCAAGGCTGCCCATGCCTGCACACGCCCTCTGCTCGCGGCCTGCCGGCTTTCTCGGGCGATCTCTGGCCAGAAGCCCTTCGCTGTAGCAGAGTCAGACTTGTCCAGCATCGTTTAGGATTTCATGCTCTGTGGACACAGCGGTTTTTCATTTCGGTGAAATCTAATCCATGAATTTTGTGTTTTACCGTTGTTGTTTTCCATACTTTCAGAGAATTCTTGCCTCTGTCGGATAGGAAATGCCCCCTCCGTCTCTCTGGAGGCGTCCTCCTTCCAGGCTCGGTGTACAGCTCACCTGTGGCCGAGGGTCCTCACGCCCCCTTTAACACAAAGGGTCTTCCCTCAGCTGGCAGTCTGCAAGTGCCCTCCACAGGCGGAAGCCAGGAGCTGGGAGTTTCATCCCGGTCTCCTACATGGATGCAGGGCCCAAGCACTTGGCCCAGCCATCAGCAGCACCACTGGTTGGAAGTGGAGCAGCCATCGCAGTGGGCGGTGGCTTAGTGCACCTGCTGCAATGTCGCCCTGCCAAGCCCCCTTCCCTCTTCAGGTTTCCTGGACACCGGTTCCTGCAACAGCCTGGGCAGAATCCTCTGGTCTACCACTCAGGCAAGCGGGGACGCGTGGGGCTCCCACTAGTGGGCACCAGCGAGCTGCAGCTTTTCCATTTGCTGTTTTTGTCCCCCTTAATCCTAAGCAGAGTTGCAGGCTGTGTTTTCAGCATCCGTCCACTTGGCTGTGCTTCTCCTCTCTACTTTCTGTTGACGACTGTTTGGACATTACACAAACTTTACTTTTCCAGGAGGACAGTGCTTCTTGGTCGGGGGTGTGGGACCTGGCTCCCTCGGCACCCCTGAAGTCTTGTGCCAGGCGTCCTGCGCCAGGCTCCTGCCCAGGGGCGCTCCAGCACCAGCGCTGAGTGGCCTCGGAGGCTAGGCGGCCGCGAGCCCTTGCTCAGCTTATGGGTGGACGCCCTGTTGTCCTGGCAGGTTGAGAGGAGGTCACCCGCGAGCTATGTGCTTCTCGCTCCCGCCTGGCCCGGGAGCCTGTGCCCATGTTCCCCCTCTGGTCGCCTTCCCCATCTCTCCCCAGTGCTGCACCAGCGTTCTTTAGGTGCTGCAGCTCTTGTGAGACCCGGGCAGACCTCGGACTGTGACCCAGGCTCACAGCACTGCAGCTGGGAGAGGGTCTGGGTGCGTCCCCTGACTGGCACCGAGTGGGGAAGGGCCCGAGGTTGCCCAGTGGGAGGTGAGCAAGCACACCCCATGGGAGGTGGAGCTCTTCTCAGTCACCCACTCGGGCACCAGGGAGGGGTTGGGAATGGAAGCCTGCCGGGTGGATCGGACTGTAGGGTGAAGGCCTCGGGTGGCCTAGGGTCCAAGTGGGGCAGCTTGGTGTCCAGTGGTGGCGAGCAGTGCTGCTCTTGCTGCCTGAGGCGCACTGGGGAGAGGCGAGCTGAGAGAAGGCACCGTGGGGTCCTTGCTCATTTGATGGACAGACCATTCAATGGATTTACCTGTGCCACCCGCAGCTGCCCGCTGGCCTCTGTGCCCCCAGCCCCTGCCCCTGGCATTCTCAGCACACAGCCCACCTGCCTGGACTGGCTGCCAAGGGCAAGAGGCTGGTGGTCCTAGTATGAAGCCCCCATCTGGCTTGGAAGGCTGTGTGGGAGTTGCTGGTGCCCTGTCTACATATGGTGGGGGAGGGGTGGGTGCGGGGGGACAGCAGGAAACAGCGGGAGATGGTGTGGTCTGAGTCACACCGCTGAGCAGATATTTCTGTGAAAGCTAAATTAACTAATATCTGAAAGAATCGCAGAGAAAAGAGAGACGGGTACCCCCCAAGCATTGGTTTACTCCCACATGGTCGCAATGGTCAGAGCTGGGCTGAGACCAGGAGCCAGGGGCTTCGTCCAGGTCTCCCATGTGGATGCAGGATGGAAGAGGCCCTCCTGTGCTGCTTTCCCAGGCTGTAAGCAGGGAGGTGGGTGGGAATGGAGCAACAGGGCTTGAACTTGCATCCATGTGGGACACTGGTGCCACAGGCAGAGGTTTAGTGACCATTAAGCCGAGAGGGCAGCAGGGAAGGCTGCTGCCAGCACTGACCACTGGCCTGGACAGCCATAGGCTCTGTAGGATGCCCTCTGGTTCTCACTGTGACCTGGGCAAGAGGGGCGGGGCTCAGCGGACAGATGCTGAGCCAGGCAGCAGAGGTGGCAGCCGCCCTGGGGAGCTCGAACAGGAAGCCCTTCGCTCTTGGCAGGCACCTGCTGGATGACATCTTACGACCTCGCAATGGTGTCCCATAAGCCCAACGAAACCGCAGCCATGCTTACGCTTAGGATGGGCCTGATGGACTGTCTGCAGGAACAGGCACTCATGGGCCCTGGCGGGGTCTGCCACCTCGCCCGAGGCCCTCATCCACGGAGCCAGCTGCTCATCCCGGAGCGCTTCCCTGCCCTCTCACGGAAGCAGGTCACTCCGAGGGGTGCAGATTTTCCTCAGCTCAGGAAGTCTGTATCTTTGCTTTGTAAAATCACTCTCTGGGCAAAGTAGGTGCTGGGCAGCTTAAAGCAGAAACATAAGCCTAAGCCAGATCCTGTGTCCGGGTGACAGGCAGAGGAGGCACTGGATCCCAGCGCTCACGGAGGAGGGACCTTTAATCCCACACCCAACCGCACCCAGGGATAAACCTGGAGAGGAGCTCAGCATCTCCTGTCAAAATCGGCCACGGATTTCCTCTCCGAGCGCTTTAATGCCCAGCTCTGTCCCGGATGAATGTCACTCGTTATCTGGCGCATGGAGGGTGGGCGGCCGGCGGGGGGCATGGGAGCCCCCGTTTCTGGAGGCGCTGTGGACCTCGGAGAACTTGGGCTGCTGTGGTGTGAGCCGCTAATCCCCAGCTCATGGTTCCCGCCCCAGCTCTGTTTGATTATGACTGATTTTAATATGCTTCCCGCAATGGCCCAGAGCCGGCAGCATGCGGCTTGCTTCCACTCTCCTGTTTTAAATAAAACGCAGAATCATGCCTGGTGGCCGTGGTGGGGGTCTGTGCTCCGACAGAGTGACCAGGGGACCAGCAACGGGGCATCTGTCCATGCAGGCAGGGTAGAGATGAGTCCTCCATGGCACAGATGTGACCCAGGTCCCCTAGGAGGCTCAGGCGGTGTCCCCCAGGGCTGGCCTGCAGGAGATGTGGTGGGGAGCTTGGGGACCCCCTGAGAGCCAGTGATGGGGGGTCCCTTAGCCCCTTCACAGCCTCAGGCTACGTGAAAAATGAAGCCTTCCTCGTGGTTTGCTGAGGCCCCTCGGGCAGGGCATGGAGGGTGCCCTGGGGGTCACAGCGACAGTGAACTTGTGCCACACTGGCTGTGCCACCCTAGCTCTGGCACTCTGTAAGGCCAGGTGGCATCCCACCCTGCCGTGCCCCTCGTGGCCATTGCCTTCATTCTTGGCTTCTAGCATTCTCATGCCGGCTGGGCTCAGTGGGGGCATTCTGCTGCACCGAGACGGGCTGGCACCGGGGGTGGCAGTGGTGGGAGAGGCAGAGTGGAAGAGCAGACGGTGTCCCACCGAATGTGGCCTCGTCTGAGGTCTGTGCAGGTGCCAAGGAGCAGACCTGGGCCCTGCTGCTGTGGGAGACCGTGGCCACGCTCCAGACAACACAGCTGCCTCCCCTTCCACACCGCCAGGCCCCTGTCCATCTCTGCTGACCGGAGGGGCTGCTGCTGCTCCGGGGCCCTGCTGGGTAAACCAGGTGGCTCCAGGGACCTCTGTGCCATGAGCTCCAGGAAGTTGTTGGGAATGTAGTAGATTCCGTTGAACACATTAAGTGCATCCGGCTCAGCTGTTACAACTGTTTGAGGTCTGCACAGCCCACGCCTGTGTACCTGTGTCCTGGCCCTGGCTCCGAGTCCAGCTCCAAGCTCAGCCTAGGATCAGCCTTGATGGCTCAGTGCTTGGGTCCCAGATCCCGTGGGGGAGACCTGGCTTCAGCCTAGCCCACTTCCATCTGTTGTATGCACTTGAAGAGAGAACCAGCAGGCTGACCATTTCTCTCTGCCTCTCTGTACCTTTGAGTAGATAATGAGATCTCTAACCTATATCAACAGACTAGAAAGCGTATACAAAGTGAGAAAGGATCAGAGGCAATGAAACGGACACTATTTCAAAGTGCTTCTGTTATGACTTAGGCAGCGATGGCGCTCACGACACGCCCTGGGAGCTGCTGGGAACCAGCGTGCTGTATTGTCAGGCGCCCTGAGACGCCCTGTGGAGGACGGCCGTGCTCTGCTCGTCGCTGTCACAGCTGGACAGAGCTCTCCTGGACACGCTGGTGGGTCTTACTCAGACCCTCCGCTGACCATGCAAGGCTCCGTGGAATTCCACCGGTGAACGCCCAGTGCACGGATGGGAAGGCACGTCTCTGTCCCCTCAAGCACCTCAAAGAACAGATGAGGAAGGGAGGAGAGATGAGAAGCCGGTGCCCACCTGCCTGCGGCACCTCCTGCCCATGGGAGGCCATGGCGCCCACCTGCCTGCGGGCACCTCCTGCCCGTGGGAGGCCATGGCACCCACCTGCCTGTGGGCACCTCCCGCCCGTGGGAGGCCAGAGCCTCAGGAAAAGGCTCCTCTCGCCCTAGGAGGGCCTCCCTCCTAACACTGGCCCTGTCCCCATCCAGGGCTGACCCTTAAGGCAGCAGTAAGAGGGGCCTAGAGCTGCGGGGTGAGGACCTGGCTCCTGCGGGGCTGCTGGGCCCAGTCAGGTCTTTGTGCTCCCAGGGCTCAGCAGCAAGGTGCAAACGGGACACCGAGCCCAGGCGGCCCCTCACGCCACCTGCCTGCTCCTCAGCCAGGTCTTCTGTTACAGCAGTCAGAGGGGAGTGAGCTGTCACCGGTGTTGAGTCATCACCGGTTGCCTTTGTATCTTAATGTTTTTCCATTATTTTTGGATCCTTCTGTGCTGTTTCCCAGATAATAGCCCCAGTTTCCCAATTCTCATTCCCACCGTGACGCATGGACTATCCTTCCCTGCACCGTTCATTTCTGTGAAGACAACCTTCGTTTCTGGAATTTCTGCTTGCTTCGCTCAGAGGTGGGCCTGCTCAGGCTCCCTCTTACAGGTGCCTCAGGGCTTTGGCTGGGCTGCACTCCTGGAGCCTGCCCCCTGCGCTGCCCTGCTGCTGGGTGTGCTGTCCCCTCCCGGCCTGCCTCCCAAGGGTCAGGGTGCTGTCCCCTCCCGGCCGCCTCCCAAGGGCCTGGGCGCTCTCCCCTCCCTGCCCGCCTCCCAAGGGTCAGGGTGCTGTTCCCTCCCGCCTCCCAAGGAACAGGGTGCTGTCCCCTCCCGGCCGCCTCCCAAGGGCCTGGGCGCTCTCCCCTCCCTGCCCGCCTCCCAAGGGCTGGGGTGCTGTCCCTTCCCGGCCTGCCTCCCAAGGGCAGGGGTGTCCTGACAGATGGTAGGCTCCCAGTCACACGGCATATGTCTTTATTTTCATCCCAGGCTGAGCTGGGCGCACAGGTCTCAGATGCCACGTGCTCAGAACTTTTATTTTGGGGGAGCCCTTTTCTGCTTTGGGATTGGGAAGTAGGACCACCGCCGTGGCTTTCCCACAGTGGTGTGGCGCCTACTGGCCTCATGTCAAGGGTTGGGGCCTCACACAGAGGTGCTGTCCACGCTCACCTGGCCCTCCTGCCATGCCAGGGCCTGTCCCTGGCTCTTCCTCACCCAGTGCCAGCTCCCTGACTGCGCCTACGGCCTTGCTTCCCACTGACTTTGGGTTCTCTTTCTCTCTTAAAACAGTGCGGCTAACATTGGATTATTACCGCGTGTCGTTAGTCCAGTCTCCCTAGACAGCAGGGCAAGAGGCAGAGGCTGCTCCTTGGGAGGGCCGTCCCAGTGCACAGGAGGGCTGACGGGGTGGGCGTGGAGGGGGATGGAGAGGGGAGGGCTGAGGGGGTGGGCCCGGAGGGGGATGGAGAGGGGAGGGCTGAGGGGGTGGGCGTGGAGGGGGGTGGAGAGGGGGGGGCTGAGGGGGTGGGCCTGGAGGGGGATGGAGAGGGGAGGACTGAAAGGATGGGCGTGGAGGGGGATGGAGAGGGGAGGGCTGAGGGGGTGGGCGTGGAGGGGGATGGAGAGGGGAGGGCTGAGGGGGTGGGCGTGGAGGGGGATGGAGAGGGGAGGGCTGAGGGGGTGGGCGTGGAGGGGGATGGAGAGGGGAGGGCTGAGGGGGTGGGCCCGGAGGGGGATGGAGAGGGGAGGGCTGAGGGGGTGGGCGTGGAGGGGGATGGAGAGGGGAGGGCTGAGGGGGTGGGCGTGGAGGGGGAGGGAGAGGGGAGGGCTGAGGGATGGGCCTGGAGGGGGATGGAGAGGGGAGGACTGAGGGGGTGGGCCCGGAGGGGGATGGAGAGGGGAGGGCTAAGGGGGTGGGCGTGGAGGGGGATGGAGAGGGGAGGGCTGTCCCAGTGCACAGCAGGGCTGGGGGGACAGCAACAGACTCCCACTGCAGTCCTCAAAGAGGGCTCAGCAGATCATAGCCACACCAAAGCCACTTCCTGTCCAGTCTGCTCCTGTCACTTTGCTGGGTTCTCACAGGCAGAGCCTCAGCTTTGAAGCTTGGCCTGATGGGGGTGCTGTGGCAGCTCTGAGCCCACACCTCCACTTTGTGCTGCCTTGGCGGGGGCTCTGTCACGGCTCACTCCCTGATAGGCCTCTGTCCAGGGATCCAGGGTGTCCAGGCATCCTTTGAGATCCAGTCTCACGGCCCAGGCACCTCCATCTTCCTGGGGTCTGCTCCGAGCGAGGCCCCACCCCTGTGTTCACCCTGCCTGTCGCCCCAGGCTTTCAGTGCAATGCCTGTGGAGCTTCCTCCTCAGCCAGTGGCTCCTCTGCCTCTGTCTCCTGCTCCAAACCCACCACTCATCCCTCGCTCTCTGGCCAGGCTGAGACCTGCCGGGGACGACCTGCCAGTCCGGAGCCCTGTGGGAGGCTCTGGTCACAGTCATGTGGCTCAGTCTCTAAGCCCCAAGTGTGCCGGGAGAGGTTTTTCCAATGGGGGTGGCTCTCGACCCTGCAAGACTCGGCCTCTCCTGCTGTGGCCCTCACGTTGGGATTGGCCAGGAACCACGTCGTGGCCTTAGCTCTACAGAGACTTCCAGAACCCCTGACTGCTGCCCTCAGAGTAGGTGGCTCAGCGTGCATGTCCTGCCCAGGCTTGGTCTGCATGGCACTTAGAGCTGGCAGCCTTTGGGGAGTTATACCAACTGGGTTGGAACACCACCTCCAACTGTGGTGTTCATGTTAGGGTCCAGTTTTGTCCACCCCCCCCCCCCCCCGCCGAAACGACAGAGTCTTGCTGGTTATGCAAAAGCAAGCAGAGTTTATTGTGCCAGCATGCTGGGGTCAGACCGTTCTTGGGGCACGCAGGCCAGCCAAGCAGAGGTCAGACCCCGAACTAGAGAGAGCCAGAGATTATATAGGCCCTTTCAGCCGTTACATGCATCATAGCCAGCACAAATCCAAACACTGCAATCGGCTTCAAACACATCGTCTATACCTGGGTGTACTCTGGAGCTGGGGCTGTAACAAACCTCCAGCACGTCACTCCAAGCACATCAGCTTTATGGGCTTCGGGTAGGCGATTACACCGCCGTGCCCCTGCACCCGGTGTATTCCAGACAGGGCTCGCGACCCTGGCTCATCCTGACGGAGGTGGAACTTCCTAATGGCTTTGACTTAGCAGAGCAGCAGCCTCTTGGCACCAAGAAGCTTCACACTGCCTAGGATCCACAGTCTAAAAGCTTTGGTCGGCCCAGCCTTGCCTTGCTGAGTGGCGGCTGCGAGTCCACACCCCAGCTTACACACACACACACACACACACACACACACACACACACACGGCCACTCTCTGTACCCCACAGAGGGCAAGGCCCTGGGTCCTCACAGGGCGTGGCCCCCGCCTGCAGTCAGCACACCCGGAGCACTGGCCGCCCCTGCTCAGCACGTCCAGCTGGTGCAGTTATCAGCATGGTGGACAGCAGTGCCTGAGTTTCCTGCTGGCCATGTTGACGGGGGGCGGGGCAGAGGCTGCCACAGGCCCTTGGCAAGAGCAAAAATGCTCCTTGCCTGAGAGTCCACGGCTTCTGATCTTTTATGTCGGAGAGGGTGGTGGTATTGGGTAGAGGTGCCAGCCTCGCTCCCTGCTGCAGCCCACATGCTGTGAGGGCTGCCCCAGTGGCTGTGCCTCTGGCTGCCGGATCTTGTCTTTCCCCAGAGCAGCGATGCTAGCTGGGCGTGTTTGCAGAGTGGCTGCTTGAGGGCCGCAAGCGGTGAGCACTCAGGGACGAGCAGTGTCTTGTGGCTACCTGCGAGGCTCATGTCGGGCCCCTTTCCCGAAGCAGCAGGTGTGAGGACGGCCAGCAGACGGCAGCTCGTGGCTGTGGGGGAGCACAGCCCCAGCTCCTCCTCCCCACCCCACCCCCTTCACTGCTGCCTCATCCCCCCTCATGGAGCACATTCGCAGCACAGAGCCACGGCCCACTCCTGCAGGGGGCTCATCCACCAGCGGAATCTGCTATACCCTTGGTGCGCTGGGCACCGTCCATTGGCATCTGCTTCAGAGCGTTGTGTTGCCACTGTGCAGCAGCCGGGTGGGGTCAGAGGTCAGGTGCCCCCTGTGAGTGGTCAGGAGGTGAGGTGATGGTCAGGTGCTTCTGTGTGAGTGGTCAAGAGTACGGTCAGAGGACAGGTGCCTCTGTGTGAGTGGTCGGGAGTGGGGTGACAATCAGGTGTCCCGGTGTGAGTGGTCGGGAGTGGGGTCAGTGGACAGGTGCCTCTGTGTGTGAGTGGTCGGGAGTGGGGTGACGGTCAGGTGTCCCTGTGTGAGTGGTCGGGAGTGGGGTGACGGTCAGGTGTCCCTGTGTGAGTGGTCGGGAATGGCGTCAGTGGACAGGTGCCTCTGTGTGTGAGTGGTCGGGAGTGGGGTGACGGTCAGGTGCTCCTGTGTGAGTGGTTAGGAGCTGGGGTGACGGTCAGGTGCTCCTGTGAGTGAGTGACAAGGAGCTGGCATCTCCAGGGTAGACAGGTGTCCCTGTGTGGGAGGGAGAAGCATCCAGGCAGGCATGTTTACCTGGGAGAGGAAATGTGGACGAACTGCTGTGGTGGCCTGGCACGCGGCCTGTGACACAGCCACGAGGCCAGGCAGAGCCAGACCCTGGAGACGCCGCAGGGTAGTGTTTGTGGTTCCCCTTTGCAGTCAGGCTCTCTGGCTGCCAGGACTACCATGACCACTGGACTGTGTTGGCCAGGGACGAGGGAGAGGAGGCCCTTGGGGACTAAGCTCACTGCCCAGCTGGCCCCTTGCTGCGAGCCCTGCCCAGTGGCGGGTTCCCCCACTTTGTTTGCATGTTGATGGTGTAGTTCTGACCACTCTCACTTACCCCAGGTCTTGGCTTGCCTGGAGACTGCGGAACCTGGTTTGTTTTTATGTCCCTTAAAGAAGGAGTGTGGAGACAGTACCGAGTGCCAGGCAGGCTTGAAGGAACCCGGTCCCCACTGTCCCCACCTTACAGAGCAGCATAACTAGCCGACCCTCTGGTTTCCGCTGCTCTCGGCAACGGCAGACAAGAAGCGCTGCAGAAAAGCCTGCGAAAGGCGGTGTTGGCACGGGGAGTGTGCGGCAGGCAGGGCAGGCCGTCACACGGCAGGGAGCTCAGCGCCTTCCCTCTGATAGCCGGGAGGGGAGGGTGTGACTCCGGCTCACAACCGAACCAGAGACAGCCTTCTAATTTTAGAGTCTTAATGGTGCCCGTGGAGGCACGCGGGGAGGGACAGGTTCTTGGCTGCTGCTGCATCGAGCCTTCCTAAAATAAAAGCAAAGCCTGTGTGGGCCTGACGCGGCTGTTGCGTGTGGGAAATGCGCACGGACGGGTTTTCTTTCCTCCTGTTTACACCGAATATTCCAAACGTTGCACATCAAAAAGAGACAAGGGCAGCTGTTCTGCCTGTAGGGGATGGGGCATGGCAGAGGGAGAATGTTCCGGAGGCATCTCCCTCCCTGCCCAGCTCTGTCTCTCTCCTCCTCCCTGCTGACAGCGCCTCTCGGCTTCCAAGTCTGAGACACAGGGTGCCAGATGGAGAGGCAGCCCGCGACACTGGCACCTGCCGTTCCCTGGGCAGGGCAGAGAGGAGCTGGACAGCTGACTGCTGTGGACGCTGGGTCCAGGGCTTTGTCCCTGAAGCACAGACGGGACAAGGTGGGCAGAGGAGTCAGCTTTACCTGCCTGGCACAAGAACCGCCAAGCCCAAGGACGGGCACACTGGGGAGGATCCGGACATCAGGGGCGTGCTGGAGGCACAGGGCACTTCCAGCAACTTGGGGCCAGCCCATTTCCTGGCCTTGGTCATGGTGCCAGGTGCCTGAGTGGCAGCCTGACTGAGGGCAGAGACTACCCCCTGCCTTCTGCACCAGTTCAGCTCTGCCCCAGTCAGTCAAGTTTGAAAAACCTGTGCAGACTGCCTTAGCCCCGCAGAGAGATTGTGCCGCCAGGATGGAAGGCAGCTCTGGCGATAGAAATACTTGGTCTGTCAGAGCTGGTAGTGGATGCTGCCGTTTGTCTCTGAATATACCTGTTCTGGCTGTGGAGTCTCTCTTCCTCTTTCCTGACAAGGTTATCGCAGGTTACAGGTCAGCCAAATGCAAGCAGCGGCCCTGCTGTATAGTCACAGCAGTGATGCAGGCAGCCCTGGGCGGGGGACACACTGCCTCCTGCGCTGCGTTCTCTCCAAGTCACCGTGGGGATGGCAGGGCATCTCGCCCTTCTGCACAGTCAGGTTCAGAGACGCGGGGCTTATCTCACTCTTCCCCCAGGGGATCTCCCCAGAGGGGCAACACATCTCAGAAGGGTTTTCCCTGTGGGATTCAGAGCCGTCTGCTTCCATTTTCTCATCCCTGGGATAGAAGAGACACCTCAGCAGGCAGCTACCATGTTCACCTGGCGCTGGGCATGGCCAGTCCTACCTGCCTCGGCGGTGCAGGCGCCCACCGTGTTCATCTGGTGCTTGGCACGGTGGGAGGGCGTGCTGAGAGGCATGCTGGGTGAGAGGCGGCCCAGGTCTGCAGAGAAGGACATTCTGGGAGACACATGGGGACTGTGAGGGTTCTGACCAACTCGCCAGCCCTGCTTAGGAGTCTGTGTGAGTCCATTGGGCTGCCAGCAGCACAGGCCGTGCCCTTTTTGTCCCTTCCCTCAATGCCAGCTCTCTCCGTGCCTGTCTTTCTGGCGCAACATTTGGGAAGCAGCCTTAACTGCAGTGGTCACCTCCCCACCGAGGTGGCCGGAGCTGCCGTCTGCAGGCATCACTGGCCAGGGACTGCCCCCTGGACCAGCCTGTGGCTGCTGCTGGTTGGAGCAGGACAGGGCGGAGCAGCGGCTCCCCAGCTGCCCTGCCCACCAAGATGCATTGAAGAGCTGCTAAGTGAGGTTGGGCGCAGGGAACACTCTGATGCCAGAAGGGAAGACACAGGACAGCCCTGGGGGGCACCGGGTTGAGCTGCCCCTTGTCTGCACTGCAGCTCCTAGAATCTAGCAGTCCGCCTCGAGGGTCCATTCTGCGTTCACCCCAGCTTTCTGGCAAGGCATGCCCTGGAAGGCAGCAGGTGACGGCTGAATACTTGCTTTTCTGACACCCCTGGGTAGGGCTCCTGGCTCCTCGCTTCCACTCAGCACAGTCCAGCTGTTAGCTCTTGGGAGTGAGCCAGTGAATGGACGTTCTCTCTGCTTTAAATATATACTGTTTTAAACAATATTTAACTTCTGTTTTCAATGCAGAGTAACAGAGAGCGCGTGAGCTCTTCCACGTACAGATCTTTGCTCCAGATGTTGTAAGAGCTGGAGCTGGGTCCCAGCTGGGAGCCAGGAGCTTCTTCTACGCAGGCCCCCAGCACTCGAGCCATCCACTGCTTTCCCAGGAGATTGGCAAGGAGCAGGCTCAGAAGTGGAACAGCTGGGACTGACCGGGCACTTTGCGGCATGTGCCACAGGTGAAGGATTAGCCACCTACGTCACCATGCCGGCCACTCCAGCACACGGATCATTAGGGCACTTTGTTCTCTCTCTTTGGGCTTCCCTGGCTATGGCAGCCAGTACAAGATGGTGTCTGGCTCTAGTGCAGACACCCTGGCCGAGATGACAGCCAACAGTGGTCCTCATGGAGGCAGGGTGGCTGCTCGTGGCGACCCAGGCCATGCTGGCATTTTGTGCATGGTCCCTAGAGGGCAGAGGCTGTCCCCCACACACACACCCTGTGTAAGGCAGTGGGACCGCTTCGTGGGCACTGACCCTGGGGGTCAGGGGAGCTGTGCTGAGGGCCCGCTGACACTGAGCACTCCCTCAGGGTCCCTGTGGCCTGGAAGGGCTGTGCTGTCCGGGGAGTCCCACACTTCCCATGCAATGGCTACTCTGTGTGTAAATGTCCACTTGGCACTTCTGGCCTCTAACACGCCTCGTAGGAGGCTCCTCGCCCCCACACACCAGCTGTACCTGCCTGCCACACACAGAGCCTCCCGCCCTCAGGGGCAGAGAGGGACGTGACGGGAGTGCTCAGATCCCACAGCCTGATCCGGCAGCATCTGAGCAGTCGAGGCTGTGAGGCGTCTGCCTGCTGCGACTCCACCGAGTTATTTATAAATGCATGCCCTGGGCACTGGGCTCCTGCGAGGGCTGGCCAACAGTGACTGCGAGGGCAGAGTGACAGGCAGGCAGTTGTGCCCGACCCAGGTCAGGACCATGAGGCACCTGATTGTGTGTGTGTGAGAGAGAGAGACAAGGGCAGGGCATGCCCAGGGTCAGTAGGGACTGGAAATAATTGAGAGCTGTTGGGGTTCAGCTCACATCGTGTAAACCCTGTCATTACATCCCTAATGACTAACTGTGTCTCTCAGGCGTGATGGAGGCAGCTGAGGGGGCAGTCCTTAGAGACCCAGATGGGGAGCCCTGCAGTCTGTCTGCTGCAGCATGGAGTTCCAGCCCTACCCCAGGTTCCAGCATCCCCCAGCTCTGATCTCAGGACGGGTCCCCAGGCCTCTCCCCCAGCTCTGAACTCAGGACAGGTCCCCAGGCTCCAGCAACCCCCAGCTCTGATCTCAGGATGGGTTCCCAGGCCCCTCCTGTGAGCAGAGCACAGAGAGGGGGTAACCCCTGTTACCTTGGTCTCCCCCTGGGATCTGAGGTCTGAGGGCAGCCTCCTGTATCCTCCCTTCCTTACCAGCTTTGTGGCAGTGGCCACCCTTCCCCCATGTGGCAGGTCTCAGGCTCAGCACCCCTCTCCGGGGGGCCGCCAAGCACAGGGTGGACCACGTGTGCCCCAATTGTTACAAGGGGCCATGGAGCCTGCTTCTGGAACCTTCCTTAGAAATGTTCCTGGGGACGTGTTCCCTGGTAGCCCCCTTGGCCCCCCACCTGGGCCCCTCCTTTTTTCATGATTTACATATTTATCTGAAAGAGAGTTATACAGAGAGGTAGAGGCAGACAGAAGGAAGAAGAGACAGATCGGCCATGCACTGGCTCACTTTCCAAATGGCCATGATGGCCACAGCAGGACCAGTCCCAAGACGGAGCCAGGAGCTTCAGGGGTCTAAATTCCCCACTTCTTCCCCAGGTCTAATAGCAGGGAGTTGGATCAGAAGTGGAGCAGCCAGGACACAAACATCCCACCCCACCCTAGGTGGCTGCTGCCAGCCCACGGTGGGGAGAGCACAGGACTTTCTCTGGTGTCCCTGTCACCCTGTGCAGGGAGAACCGACACAAGCGAAGGGCCAGCCAGCGTGCACTTTACGTGTTGGCTAAGAGCCCAGTGAACCGGGGCGCCTGGAAGGGCTGGGTGAGCCCTGCTCCTGGGGCCTGTCACGGAGTCAGCCAGCGGCACCCACAACCTCCCCAGGCCAAGCTTGCTGAGCTCCTGGCTGCACTGCAGGAGTCAACCCTGGGTGCTGAGAGGCCACGCTCATCGCACAGACTAATGAGTCCAGTTTTAATAAAACGTCTCTGGTCACCTATGGTCAGGTGCAGTGGACCAGGCAACACCGAGTCCTGGGTGCAGCGGCCCATGCGGGAGGGAAGGCCGCCGAACTTTGCCCAAGCCGGGTCCTCGGCCTCCCCGCTCAGGGTCTCAGCCTCGTGGGCTGTGGGAGCAACCGGAGCCTGGACAACCCGCTGGGGACTGAGCTGCAGCCTTGCAGGCGGCTGGGCTGGGTTCCGCGGCTGGAGGAGCAGGCCCCGCCCGACACCTGAGACCACGCCCGGGCCCACCCAGGCCCCGCCCCACGCCTCAGACCACGCCCAGGCCCGCCCAACCCAGGCCCTGCCCCTACATCTCCCAGACCCCCAACCCCCCGGCTCTTCCCACAGGCCCCACCCCCAGCTGGGATCCTGCTCGTCTTGGCCCCGCCCCTGTGGATGCGAGGAGGCCCCGCCCACTTGCGTGGTTGGCCTGTCTTCCGCCCCGACTGTAGCTCCGCCAATGGACCGAGTCCTTCGCCCCACCTCCACTCCACGCCCCTCCTCTTCGAGGGTAACTGGCTTGTTGCCAGAAGGCTTCCAGCGTTGGGATTGGCCACGCCGGCGGTCCTTCCGCCGTTGGATTGGTCCCCTAGGCGGGGGCGTGGCCGGCGGCGGCGGGCGGCTGGCGATTGGCCGTGGACGCGGAGGGGGCGGTCCCGCGCGGCGCAGGGCTCGGCTGGGCGCGAGTGGCCCGGCTGCTCAGCTCCTCAGGCTCCTGCGGCTCCTCAGCTCGTCGCCGCGCCCGGCCGTCCTCCGCCGGGGCGGGCTCGCGAGCGCTGTGGCCGGTGAGTGGGCGCCGCGGCGGGGGAGTGGGCACCCCGCCGGCCCCCGAACCCCGGCGGGGCGGGCTGCGAGCTCGCCTGCGCGTCTGGGGACGGGAGGTCCGGGGGTGGCCCTTGGGGTCCTCTGCCGGACGAGGGGCGCCGTGGACGGGGTGGCTCTGGGTCAGGGCGGCCTTGGGGTCCCCTCCGCACGAGGGGCGCGTGGCTCTCGGTCAGGGCGGCCTTGGGGTCCCCTCCGCCGTGGACTGGGGTGGCTCTCGGCCAGGGCGGCCTTGGGGTCCCCTCCGCACGAGGGG